CTCTCTCTCTCTCTCTCTCTCTCTCTCTCTCTCTCTCTCTCTCTCTCTCTCTCTCTTCCTCCCCTTCCTCCCCATCCTTCCTCCCCCTCCCCTCCTCCCTCTCCATTCTCCTTTCCCTCTCTCCCTTCCTCTCCTTCTCCCTCCCCCCCCTCTTTTTCTTCTTTCGCATCCTTCTGTCTCTCCTTTCATCTTCCGATCTCAACTTCTTCCTCCTTTTCCCTCTTCCTCCTTTCCCCTCTTCTTCCTCCTCCCGTCAAAGAGAAAATAATGTATATACTGGAAGATCAAACGAGTGAAGAACAAGGAGGTAGAAGGAAGGGAGGAGGGAAGGGAGGGGGGCAGGGAGGGGGAGGGAAGGGAGGGGGACGGGGAAGGGGAGGGAAGGGAGGGGGGCAGGGAGGTAGAGGGAAAGGAGGGGGGCAGGGAAGTAGAGGGAAGGGAGGGAAGGGGAAGGGGAGGGAAGGGAGGGGGACGTGGAGGGGACGGGGAGGGGGAGGGAAAGGAGGGGGATGGGGAAGTGGAGGAGGAGGAAAGGAAAACGAGGAAGGAGGGAGGAAGGGACTAAGGGAAATGTTGGGCTAAAACGAAGAGCAAAAATAGTTAGAATGAAAAAAAGGCGTAATTTATGAAACAAGAGGAGAGAGAATTATGAAGAAAGATGGAGATAGAAAACGAGAGAGGGGGAAAAATGGACTAGCCCAAGAGAGAGAGAAAAAAAATGCGAGAAAGAGAGAAAACGGCAGAACACGAAATCAAACTTAAACGAAACCCACACATCAAAAAACTCACAAAAAAAAACATATCAACAAAAAAAAAGTTAAAGACAAAAACACACAACAAATAAAAAACAAAGAGAAAAAAGAGATAACAGATAGCAAGAGAGCGAGAGAAAAGAGAGATAAGACCCCGATTTGATTCCCCATCCCCCCCCCCCCCCCAACGAAAATGTTTGAACTCCGGATATTGGCATAGCAATACCAATGCTGCACGAAGTTACACATTTCATCGTGGATTGTCCGGAATGTAATAGGCCTATAAATTCCAGAACGGGAAGTAAATATTTGCTGATCTTCTGAGAACCGCGTACACTTGCTGGGAATTGTGTTTACTTGAGTGGTTCTAGTATGATCTGTGAGCCTTTGACTGCTGACGAAGGAGAGGAAAGAGGAGAGAGGGAAATGGAATGATAGTGGAAAGGAATGCATTAATAACACCGTTGCGCTTTTTTTTTATTTTAGTTGCGGATATTTTTTTGTTGTTATTGTTAGATTCAATTTTTTATCATTATTATCAATTTAATAATACTTTATTGTTGTTGTTTTTTTTATTATCATCATCATTATGATCATAATCATTGTCATTACTAGTATTATTTTAATTCTAATTCTTAATCATTATCATCATCTCATTTATTTTATTTACTCCGTTATTTTTTTATAATCAGTACTTGTTTTTTTTTTATTAAATCTCAAGTAACGTCTGGTTGATATTAACACCAGTACATATTAACAGTAATGATAATAACAACAGTAAACATCTAGACTAAAACTTTAACAGTAATAATAGCTCTAACAAACACATCAAAACGACAACACTAACACGTAATAATAGTAACACTAACAATAACAATGAAGCAGCAACAGTAACACAAAATTAAACCAGGAACGAAAAAGCGAAATATAACAAAATAAACAACAGTAACACAGGAGCGATCAGGGACAAAGGATTTTAAATACTTTTTAAAGATAAGATGAAATGAAATAAAATAAAATAAAATGAAATATATATAAAAAAAAATCATGACTAATAACAGTGAGAAAATAGTAAGGAAAACGCTAAGAATAAACAATAACAATAACAATAACATTAAAAACAGTCATAACAGCAATAACAAGAGACCAATAACAATCATATTAATGATGCCAGCAAGAAATAAACAAATAGAATAAAAATGATAAAAATAACATGTATTTGCTTGGCGCCGCCGATGTTTTGCAAGCACGAAGAGAGACAAAGACTTGAGGAGTGCATTTGCAAAAAGTGAAGTTAAAGATAATAATAATAGTGATACTATTGATTGAATGATGGTATTTTTGTTTTCCTCTATTATTTTCTTTTGTTTTCTTATTATTTCTGCACATATAATACTGTTTGTGCCATGTGTGTATGTGTGTGTGTGTGTGCATGTATATTATAAGAATGAGAATTCCTTTTATTCTCTCATCCAAAAATTCTACTCTGGATACCATTATCATAATAATATATCTTCTGTCAGTGCCTGTACTCTCATCATTATCATTTTTATAGTCAGTAATTTTTTGCACGAATTTTCGCACTGCACATTCCAAGATCAAAAGTGGAAGAGAGAGAGAGATAATTTAGTCCTAACCGAAAGGAGGAACGAGGAATTTATAACATCATTGGCATCCCATTTTCTTCCGTTTTAATGAATGAAAGAACCGTACGCGCGCCTTCTCCCGTTTTCTTTTCTAATGTTTTGGTATTTCCATTTTCTTTGATCTATAATAATATAGTCTTTTTCCTGTTTTCTTTGCTTAATTGTTTTTGTTGTTTTTTTGAGGTTCGTTTGAGCTGTGTTTTCTTTCAAGGTTAAGGAATATTTCTCATTATTCTTTTAAATGTTTGTTTGTTTTTTAATGAATAATTTCCCACTAATGTTTCGCAAAAATCGTGCCACTTTTCATTAATTATTTTTTCCTTTCTCTCTCAACACCAATTATTCATAGTTTTGCTCCTAAATTCGAGATCATTTATCAATCCTTCAGTAAGCTTTAATGATAATGAGATTAGAGTCTGTAAAATGACGCCGGGGTTTATTAATGAGTGAAATCTAATTAAGGGCTAAAGTGTCTGTTGTTTTCAGAGGAATTTCATCCTTAAGGCTTAGATTTGGTAAACATGTTTCGCTTCCGTTCCTCTTTATATGTTTTTATTGCCTTTACTATTATTATTATTATTATTGTCATTATTATTATCATCATCATCATCTTCATCATCATCATCATCATCACCATCATCATCATCATCATCATCATCATTATCATTATTACTAATATATTTGTTGTGTCGTTGCTGTTGTTATTAACAGTAGTATAATCATTATCATTGGCAATATTATTATTGATTATATATTATGATTATCATTGTTATCACAGTTATCATCATTGACTATTAACTAGTTAACTATTGCTATCATTGTTGTTATCATATTTTTTTTGTTCTTGTACTTATTCTTGTTATTATTATTATTATTATTATTATTATTATTATTATTATTATTATTATTATTATTATTATTATTATTATTATCATCATTATCATTATTATCATTATTATTTTTTTTATCATTATTCTCATTATTATTATCATTATTATCATTATTATTATCATTATTATCATCATTATTATCCTTTTTATTATTATTATTGTCATTATTATTATCATTATTTTTTTTTATTAATTATTGATTATTTTCTTGTCGTTCTTTTGTTGTTGTTGTTGTTGTTATGATGGTATGTTTTAGAATGAGTAGTGCTATTAACACAAGCAGCAGTATTATCAGTGTTATTATTGCTAGTCGTTGTATTGCTACAAATAATATAAAAACATTGAACGTCAGTATTATCATAATTATTATCGGGGTTATGACCCTTAATCACTATCACTGTCATTACCATCATCAGTGTTATGATCATTATTATGACTAAAATCCTTATCGTTTTCACAATCCTGAATTTCACAGTTATTCACCCTTTCTCCCTTTCTCCCTCTTCGCCCCTTACGCCCTCTCTCTCCCTTCGTTCGTCTCTCCTTTCTTCTATTCTCCTACTCTTCCTTTTTCTTCCTCTTTTTTCTCTTCACTCCCTCTCTCCCTTCCCCTTCCTCGTCTCCCCTTCTCTCTCTCTTTTCCCCTTTTCCTTTCCTCTTCTCCTTTCTCCTCTTCACCCCCTCCTCCTTACTCCTCCTCCTCCCTATCCCTTCACCCTGCTCCCTCCTCCCCCTTTCTCCCTCTTTTCCCCTCCACCCCCCTCCCCCTTCTCCCCCCCTCCCCCTTCTCCCTTCCTCCTCTTCCCTTCTCCCCCTCCCACATCCTCCTCTTCCCTACTGCCCCCATCCCCCCATTCCCTTCCCCCCCTCCCTATCTAAACCCATCGACGCCCACCTCCCCCCCCTCCCATCGACGCTCCTCCTCCCCCCTCCCCTCCCATCGACGCTCCCCCCCTCCCACCCATTCCTAGCCTCCCGGGTGACGAAAACCAGGAAATTAAAAATACTTTCTGGATATCCACAAGCGAAAAAGAGACAAAAATAAAGTAAAAAAAAAAAAAAGAGGGGGGGGGAGGGGAAGGAAATCGTTTAATATGCATGAGCCAATATTAGGTTGGGAGACATAAGCTGTGTTCGAAACTATGGATATTTTTTTTCATTGTTTTTTATGTGTTTTTTGGTTTTGTTTTGTTTTTTTCTTTGATTTTTTTCCTTTTGTTTTTTTTTTTTCTCTTTTTTCGTTTTTTTCGATTTTTTTTGTTTCTTGTTTGTTTATTTTTCGTGATTTCTTAATCTATGGATTTTTTTTCATGATTTTTCGTTGTTGATTTTTTCCCTGTATGTTTTTTTTTTTTTCTTGCTGTTGCTATTTTATGTCTAAAGTGAAAAAGAATAATAAATGCAACAACGAACGTGTGATTAGTAGTTAGCAACAGCAGACTATAAAGAGAGAGAGAGAGAGAGAGAGAGAGAGAGAGAGAGAGAGAGAGAGAGAGAGCGAGAAGGAGAGAGAGTGAGAGAGAGAGAGAGAGAGAGAGAGAATGAAATAGACAGATAAATAAATAAATAAAAAAATCAACTTTCAACCAAACCCACCATCAGAATTGCAAGTTGCACAGGAAAGAAAAAGAAAACACAAAAACAACAACGACCTCGTGATCAGTAGCATTCAACAGCCGACTGAAGAACAAATGAACAGAGGAGAGGCGCGT